GGCAGGCGCTGGTTAGGGACAACTCACAAGTTAGAGCGCGGTAAACCCTTCTTCCTAGACCCTACTCGCCGCCATGCCACCACTCCCTGGAAGGGTGAGAGAGCAGTGCTTGTCGGCTACACTGTCAACACGTTAGGCAAAGAGCTTGAGCACGAGTTTCAAAGCCTTGAAGCTTTAGGTTTTCCACTCCCAGCGTCGGTACGTTTACCGCTGACTGAGCAGCAAGACGTGAGACGTCTAGACGCGTTTGACTGCTTCGAAGAAGAGCCCCTTCAGGAGACAAAGGCACGTCACCCTGACGGGAAGACTTCGGAGTTGGCGCCTGGGACTGTGCTTAAAGGCGGAGGTTGGAAAGAAACCCAAGCCGTAGAAGCAGGTACTGTAGAGCTGGAGGTGTCGTGGAACCTGAAACACTCGCCGGACCAAAGGCGAACCCAGTCTGAGCACGCCCTGCTGGCTTGCCAACCAGACACCGAAACACAGGTTGAGGAGGAGGAGAGCTTAAGCGAAGACTCCTTGCCGGAACAACCAGTGCTGTGGGAGTTGTGGGTTCCACGCCCGCAGACAGGTGAGCAGCTGTGTGTTCTCAGGTCTGACGATTCGGACGCGAGTGAAGCTTGTGCCCTTTGCAAGTCTGAGCCGGTTTACACTACCAACGTAGAGCTGTTGCTTGACGGGTTGCAAGAACCACTGCAGGTAGTTCACACTGTAGACCCTCGGGATGCAGAGCAATGCATCGAGAAGTGGATGCCGTCCATTCACAAAGAGATCGGTGTCATTGAGAAGGCTGTGCGGCGACTGCCCCCTGCAGAGGTCCGTTCGGGAGGTTGGCTTAGGCGTAAGGAAGTGAAGGTAGTTCCGTCTAAGTTTGTGTTTACAGTCAAGCCACCAGACCCTTCTGAGGGTGACGCTGCCCTCGCTACCCGGAAGGGTCAAGCTTACCACAAACGCAAGGCTCGTTTGGTCGCTTGTGGCAACCACGCCCCCGGCACAGGGTCTGAAGTCTACGCTTCAGGTGCTGCTGCAGAGACACTCCGTTGTTTTGTAATCATCAGCTCCAAGAGGAATTGGTGCATCGGGTCTCTAGATGTCACCTCAGCTTTTCTGTTGACCCCAATCCCGCAAGGCAGAGGTTTTCCAGTGTTTGCTCTCACGCCGCCTAGGTTGTTAGTGAGAATAGGTTTGGCAGAGGAAGGGGAGCTTTGGATCCTCACGCACGCTGTGTACGGGTTGAGGGAGTCGCCTAAGCTTTGGTCGGACTTCAGAGACTGCCAACTTCGGGCGCTGAGGTGTGTTGTTGACGGAGTTGAACTGCAGCTCCAGCAAGGAAGGTTGGACCCAAACTGGTGGCGTGTTGTTCGCACCTCTGACGGGGTAGTCGTAGGAGGGTTGCTCACTTACGTTGACGACTTTTTGCTTGCAGGCAGTAAAGAGGTTATCGAAGCCTTGGCTACGGCCATCCAGGGCATCTGGAAAACGACGCCTCTCGCACTTGCCACCGCAGAGCACCCGCTGAGGTTTTTAGGGGTTGATATCCTAGTGCAAGGTTCCGGGTTTGTGTTGTCCCAGCAGGCTTACGCCGAAGAGCTGCTGCGTCTCAACGACGTGAAGCCCACTGCACTAGGTAAGGTCCCCTGTCCGCGTGACCTTGTTTCGTTTGACACTTTCCTGACGGACGAGTCCCCAACCGAGGAGACCGTTCGAACAGCGCAGAGACTGACTGGAGAAATCCTGTGGCTGAGCCAGCGCACCCGGCCTGACTTAGCTTTCACTGCTTGTGTGCTCGCCTCTCTCAGCACGAAGGCGCCGCAACGAGCCATCCGCATTGCAGAAAAGGCCCTTGCGTATGTGCAGCGTACCAAGGCGCTATCCCTCACCGCTGACGCGGATGACACAGGCTTGATCGCGTACAGTGATGCCAGCTACGCACCAGAAGGGAATCGGTCTCACACGGGGTGGGTGGTTTTCCTTCACGGGTCGCCGGTGTGTTGGCGTTCAGCACGACAGTCTTTTGTCACTCTCAGCACCGCAGAAGCCGAGCTTGTTGCTGGACTCGACGCGGTAGTTGCCCTTCAGTCAGCAGAGGCCATGCTGAGTGAGTTCGGGGTGTCTAGCTTCGACAAGACTTTGAGGGTTGACTCACAGTCTGCACTGGCCATCGCTATCGGTCACGGGTCTTGGCGAACCCGCCACCTGAGGGTGCGCGCCAACTACTTGCGCGAGCAGTATGAGGCAGGAGAAATCATCCCTGTTTACTGCCCAGGTGTTGAGCAGGCCGCAGATCTTCTGACGAAAGCACTGCCATCTGCGAGGATCCTTGAGCTCGCAGCCATCTGGGGTTTGCTTGAGCATGGCGTACCTCGCCGGGCGGAAGCTCAGGCCTACAGTGAAACTCAAGCTGTGGGCACTGGGACCGTGGCGCAGCAAGACCTGCAGCTGAGTGCCTTCGCTGTCTTGCTCGCCTTCTTTCAGGTCGTAGGTGCTGCCAGCCAGACAACGGACGAGGAAGAAGACTTGTCTCTCCCCGTGTCGCTTGATGCAGATTTGATGTTGGCAGTATCCATCATCTGCATTGGTATCTGCTTCATTGCAGTGTGGGAGTTCTTCAAGTGGTGCCTTCCAGGCGTCATCTCCCGCCGAGAGGCAGGGACACCCGTGTTGTCTCTGAGCCCCCGCAGGGCGCGCAAGTTACAGCGCCTTCGAGATCAAACTGCGCAGGCCATCCAGGCCGAGATCTCTGCACGTGAGGAGGCAGCAAGCTCGCAGTCTGTTGCTGCAGCGCCCAGACGCCGCCCCTCACAAACAACTCGCACGCGTGAGCAGGCAGGTGGAGCACCAACGCGTTACTTTGCAACACCCGAAGGGACCAAGCTCCACCGCACTAAAACCTGTTCCACGCTCGCCCACTCGCACAGGTTTGTTGAGTTCGAAGTGTGCCAGCAGTGCCACGGGAGCGCTGCAGACCACACCCAGCACAGCACAGGGTAGGAACTACTCCACCCTAGCGGGTTGGATCTCTCAGTGAGCTCATCCGTAGCTGTGCCCTTTTCCACACGAGGTGCCTTGTGAGCCCTCGCACAGTGAGGGCAGTTGGCCCAGCTTTTGCCAGGTAGCTCAGGGTAGGTGTGTCGTCACCCTGACGGGTTGGACCTGCAGTAGAAAGTAGGTCGCAACTCCCTGGCGGGGCTGCGAAGGAGGAGTGCTGAAGTGCATGCCTCGTTTGCAGCTCATGCCATGTGTACATGTCTGTTTTTCCTTCTTGCTCGTAGGCCCAAGCACAGAAAGCCTTGAGCATGCTTTTAACATCTTTTAACAGAACACATGCACCATAGTTGTAGGTGCCACGCCCAACGTAGCACTAACTTCGGTCTTTTGCTTGCGTGTAAAATCTCCGCCTCTGTGTGAGCCATGTCTGGGAGTTCTGGTGCAGGGGAATTGATCACTCCACTTGTATCTTATTCCCAGCCTGCTGGTTCACACCAGCAGGAACCCTTACAGGAACCCTACAAACCCTGAACCCTAAACCCCTAGACCCCAAACCCCCAAACCCTAGACCCTATAAGCCCTTGAAGGAAGCCTCATAGGAACCCTAAGCCCCCTAACCCTTAAAAGAGGCCTTTGAGGAACCCTAACCCAGAGGGTCCATATATGATCCCGGTTCTCGGTCCACCGACCCCCCGCGGCCCCCCCAATGGTATCCCCACCCCCCCCCAAGCTCCCCAAGCCGAGGGAGGACAGCCTAAGCAGACCCACTCCCGAACCACACCACACCACATTAGAGGGGGGAGGAGGAACCATGGGGGGGGGGCAGGGGGCGTGTACCCCGCTTTACAACCAGAATCCCCACTTTACAACCAGAAGCCCCACTTTACAACCCATGAGCCTTTCCGGAATCCCCACTTTGCAACCGGTTGGGAAAGCTTCTTAACAACCCTATTAACTGATAACGTCAAAGCCTAGAATCTCTAGCATCATCCTTTACGGCAGCCATGCAGGTTGGAAAGTGATGTTGGTTGCAATGTGGGCGTTCTTAACCCGAAACCACGATAGATATGTGTGTGTGTACATATGTATATATATATAATAAGATGCGTGAGCACGTGAGGCGTGAGGGTTTGGTATCGATGATACTGTTTAGATGCTCACCTCAGCGAGCGTGTTGTTGCATAGTGGTTTGCACTTTACGCACTTGCGGCCGTCAAGCTGTATCCAACTCACTCCCTGCAGGCAAACTCGGACCGAGTGTGTTTGTATTGTAAACAAGGGTTCGGGTGCATATAATCCGGAGCAGCCCTCAACTACTGCTTTGCCTCCAGCCAGGCGCACAGAAGCACCCACAGACGACAAAGATCAAAGATATCATGCGACGAAGCAATTTTAGGGATGTTGGAGATCTTAGTAGTTAGGGGCCACGGTCGGATGAAGGCCACGTAAAACACTTTAGGGGGTCAAAGAACCAACAAACTATTAGGAATCTAGGTCGGTTTGTTGTAAAAAACTCATGAAATTCCAATAAGTCTTAATCATGGGTAGACGGGTTGCAAAGTGGGCGTTCTCACGATCGGCAGTTGTAAAGTGGGGATTCTCACACGGAAAACAGTGTCTGTGGTTGTAAAGTGGGGATTCTGGTTGTAAAGTAGGGATTCTGGTTGTAAAGCGGGTTAATCTCCCCCCGGGGGCAGGGGGGGGGGGCCGGCCGAACCGGGAACATTATAATACCAAAAGACCATCCCTATTATAGCTTTGGGGGCCTAATTCCATAAAGGCAGTAACTATGGACTCTCTAGGTAAACCCTTAAAGGAACCCTAAACCCCCTTAAAGGAGACCTTAAAGGAGCCTTTAAAGGAACCCTAAACCCCCTTAAAGGAGACCTTAAAGGAGCCTTTAAAGGAACCCTAAACCCTTAAAGGCGCCCCCTTTGAGGTGATAAGCCTTTAAAGGAACCCTTAAAAGAAGCCTTTAAAGGAACCCTTAAAGCAACCCTAAGCCCCCTTTTGAGGTGATGTGCCTCCGCTCTTCTTCAGCGTGGGAGCCTCTGAGTCGATCCTGGGAGACTCCGTCCACGCCGCTCGGCTCACGTTTTAGGGCTTTCAGGGTTTAGGGTTTAGGATTAGGGGTTTAGGGCTTTGGGTTTAGGGTTTAGTGTTTAGGGTTTAGGATTAAGGGTTTAGGGGTTAGGGTTCAGGGTTTAGGATTAAGGGTTTAGGGCTTTGGGTTTAGGGTTTAGTGTTTAGGGTTTAGGATTAAGGGTTTAGGGGTTAGGGTTCAGGGTTTAGGATTAAGGGTTTAGGGCTTTGGGTTTAGGGTTTTGGGTTTGGGGCTTAAGGGTTTAGGGGTTAACCCCGCTCGGCTCAGGGATGAGGGGTTGATAGGGCTATGCGCTTTTATAGGGTTAAAGTTTAGGGGCTTTAAAGTTCAGGTTTAGGGTTTAAGATTTAAGTTATAAGCTTTAGGGGGTTTAGGGCTCAGTGTTTAGGGTTCAGAGTTTAGGGTCTTTAGGGTTTAGGGTTTTTAGAGCGATTCCGGTGGCCTGTGGAGGGTGGTCTGGGCGTTTAGGATGTTTCGGGGGTGCTTTGTTTTTTTGTTTGTGCCTTTAGGGTTCCTCTAAAGGTTCCTTTGAGGGTTCCTTTAAGGGTGCCCTTTTGGGTTTTGATGGTTCCGAGGATTAGATCGGGACTAATTACAAGGGAATCTCGTCTATGGCTGGGCATCCGGAACCCCCGTTATTATAGGGCTGAAGGAGAACCCTAAAGTTTAAGCCCTGAATCCCGCATCCGTAAACCGTAAATCCCACATTCTTGGCGCTACTGTGGATTCTTCAGCCTCAAACTCAAACCCACGGCTAACCCTAAGGGTCCATGTACCCAAACAGTATATACTTTGACCTTAAAGCAGTCCCTCTATAGGTACATTGGGCCCAACGTATACATATATATATATATATATGTGTGTGTGTGTATGTGTGTGTGTAATTACTGTTTGAGTACATGCACCCTTATACTTTAAACCCTATAGAAGCCTCTAGAACCCCTATAGAATCCTTAAAGGAACCCTTCAAACGAATCTCTTGAAGGAACCCCTAAAGGGACCCTTCGGCTAAGCCTCAAAGGTGGCGCAGACAGCTGCACAAGCGGGTGTGGACGTGATCCTGGATGTCTACCACGCGATGTGGCACGTGACCCTCGGTCGGACAAATTGTAGTACAGGGCCTTGATACTTATTTTATTAATAGGGTTCGGGGGTAATCCATGTGGCACGTGATCCTCGGTCCGAAAAATCGTGTTGTCTCGGCCTTTGGGCTCAGGAGTTTAGGGATTGCCCAGACCCTCAATAACCTTTCTTAGAGCATCCACATATACTACCATTCTGGAATAAGGTCCCGCAAGACCATCCCATCACCGAAGCTATTGATCATGGGAAAGCAGCTGTTATGATCCTTAGCTTATGCTTCAACTTGTCGTTTAAGGCCCAAACTCTAAACCCTAAACACAGAAGCCCTAAACCCCAGACTCTGAACCCTGTTCTATAACCCCAAACCCCCAAACTCTAAACCTTTCTGGAGTAAAATCTGCTTATGTATACACGCCACAACAGTCCTTTCTGAAACCTTAAGCCCATAACCGTCATTCTCAAACCGAACACAACGTGGCTCCCTGGACCCCAAACTAAAACCGAGGTTCCCGATGTACTCGGAAGGCTGCGGCAGTGGCACAGAGCTTTGGCAAGGTGCCGTTCGTGTCACAAAGAAGGGTTTAGGGTTTAGGGTTTAGGGTTTAGGGTTTAGGGTTGAAGGTTTAAGGGTTTTTTGAGCTTAGTTGCGCCACGGGTGCAAGGTACAACTAGGTTACAAAGTTTGAGTACCACACAAGGGTACCCTGACAAATCAGGGGTCACTGGGGAGTCTGTACAGGGGCCCTAGGACCAAACCCTTTCAACACTAGAACCCACACATACAACCCCATTTACGTCATCAGGAAGCCGCTACACCGTCCTTTCAAAATCACGGCAAGACTTTAGCTTTAGCTAGGACCCAGAGTAGGCCCTTGTTCCCTTTTTCAGGTTTCAGGTTCCTATAAGCCCCTTTAAACCGAAAAGGGCACCCTTGTTACCCCTAGGTTACTCTTAGGTCTAGTTAGCAACCTTCCGTGCCAGGAAAACCCTAAACCCTATAAACCCTAAACGACTTTAGCAGCCTTCCATGCCAGGAGCTTATGCAATTAACAAGACGGGCCTCTTCGTCCGGCACATTGCAGAGACAGGCAGGTTGCCATACAAGGTGCCGCTTGAGGGTTTAATTTTAGGGCTCGGGGGGAGGGGTCGGTAGGGATCCTTCTGTGTTCTAGAGCCCCTGTAGAATTAGTCCCTATCCTACTCTCAGATCTGAATTTAAGTCTCAGGATTCCTAAATGAGCGACTGCTTTTATTTGGTAAGGCAATACTGCAGTTGTGCCGGTGGCAGTAATTGTGTGGTCAGCACCTTCTCCACCCACACCCTAGGGGTCATGGCCTTGGTGCCACTGGGGGAACCCGCTTAAAGCGACATCAGGCATATTTTTTTCGACGATGTAGCTCCATCTGAACTCGAACTCGATCGAGATTTTCTGCCAGTAGCATAAGCAAACGAGACAGAAATAGGGGACCGCTCCTATATAGGGCCTTCGGCCAATTAATCAAACAAACGCCGCGGTTCAAGCTAACCCTAAACCCTACAACCCGATACCCTACCAGCACCCCCCAACTACCCTCTGCCATAGCCTTTGTATCTTCAACAAGTATGAAGGACGGTAAGAGCTCTATTAATCCCTTCCCCCTAATATTAAACGCCTCCCCCCCTAATATAAAAACTGGATTCCGGAGGTTTAGTTTTTATATTAGGGGGGGTTTCGGGTCCTGCGGGTATGAGTCGGAGTGACAGCAATTAATCAGTAATGAGGCAGCCAGACAGTCAGACAGCCAGAGCCCGAAAGCTCTAAGCCATAAACCTCAAACATAACACCCAACAACCCCCCCTTATATTAAAACTAATTAGCTAATAACTGGCTCCAGCCTAATTAAAACTTAAAACCCTAAGCCTTAAACCTCGAGCCCCAAACCCTAAAGTCCTGAGCCCTAAACTTTAAGCCCTCAAGCCCTGGGCCCTAAAGCTTTAGCCCTGAGCCCTAAACCCTTAAACCCTAAAGCTCTCGTGTCTCTTTAGTACTGCTGTAATTAATCTTTGCCTCTATAATTAAAGCCCTGAGCCCTAAACCCTTAAAACCTAAAGCTCTGGTGTCTTTAGTATTACGGTAGTCTTCCTTCAATTAAAACACATACAGATCTGCCACCCCCCCTAATGTTGCCCCCTTTAAATTGAATGCGGGGCCCGAACCCGCGAAATTCCGGGGGCCGGCAGTTTTTATATTAGGGGGGGGGGGGTTGAATGTTCAGGGGAAGCGATTACAGGGTACCAGGGGGTGCTGGTACACCCGAGACCTGGAACTCGAGCATTCTTCTCGGAGTTTACGACTTCGGGCTTTCAGGGCTTAGACTCTTCAGGTTTTGTTGGGCTTGCCTGGATCCTACCAAACCTTCTTTTTTAGGGCTCCCTGCTTTCCTCATATATGTCCTTCAAAAAGGTAGGTGATCTGGGGTCTGGCTTGGGTGCTTCGGGTTTAGGGCTTGAGGAGGCTTGGGTACCCAAAGGGTCCTAGGTACTGTTATGGGGGATACTTCCCGAAATCATAATAATTCCTAATATAGAAACCCTACATTCTACCATATAGGGGTAGGTGTTCTTCGTAGACAGGTTTAGCGTGTTGTCAGTTTCGGGGCTTTCATGGACCAGGTCCGCCCTAAGGCTCCATGTACCCTTATAGTAGATACTTAGGCACTAAAGTAGCTACATAGGGACCCCTTTAAGGCCAAAGTATCTACTATAAAGATACATGGAGCCTTTGGGTTATGAGCCTTGCTTAGCTTCCTTGCGCTCGTAAAGCTTCTCCAATCCCACGGACCCGCAAGCTTTGACAAGTCGAACAACCCAGACCTGCTGAAGTCCCTGAACTCATGGAATACACCTAAAGTCATACTAAGGGTCCTGCTATGATTTCAGGCCTTGACAGATTTTGGAAGCCCCTTAGAATCTATACTGAAGCAGCCCCAAATGCTAAGGTAACACACGCAGACTGACTAAAGTGACCAAGCCAAATCGAGACATTATGCGCAGGTGACTATTGAAGGTCCCAAAGGTGGCCCTCCGCAGTCGATCCTCGCGCAGTCTTCAAGAGAGCTTAAGGTGTATGTGTGACATGTGTGCATGTCTATATTCGCAAAGACACACATGAACTAAAGAGATGTATAAACATATAGAACTAAATATGTATCCTTGAGTGTATGTATGTCTGCATGGACGCATCGTGCATTCATGCATGCATGCATGCTGCTCACAGCCCTTTACACGCAGCTCGGATCTATACATCAACTGGTTCAACAGCAGCTCGGGTGAGGTTTAGTTCTTGTTGCTAATGCATCCCCCCAAATCTTCTTTTGGCAGCCAGTACACGGCCCCCACAGCCTCAATGCCGGCACCGTTACGAAGAAGGGGACTCTTCGAGCTGCTCTCAGACTAGAGAAGCCTTAAGTAACACCGGAGAGAGAGCACGGAATAGAGTCCTATGTACCGACGAATCAGAGCCAGCAAAACACCCTAAAAGCTTACGCCAAGGAGCATCCTGGCCCGCTTCTGGGAGCCCGGCACAAGCAAGTTACCCGCCTTCCAGCGCCTGGGGCGAATCTTCTTACGGCGGTTTCTGGGTTTGGGGTTCAGGGTTTAGCGGTTCGGACTATATAATATGAGTCGTCAGATGGAGCTCCCCGGTGCGGGGTTGGACCCGATGTTGTTTGTTTTGGAGGGGTCTGAGAGTCTGAGCGTTTCAGGTTCACAATCGAATTCCTGCTATAGAAATACTTTCTACTATACAGGTGCTCAGGAGGCGTTTTGGCTTGTGGGATTCAGGGTTTCGCTTCCGGATTTTCGTTGTCTTCAAAAGGTTCTTACTTCAAGAAGACTGTCGCATGCATTAAGATAGCTAGCCTGGGAAATGGGTAGTTTTCCAGCTTAGGGTCCTTTCTTAGGTCCCCAATTCAAAAGAGTACGGCATCCTTGTTTAGAGAACTACTCAAATCGAGGTACCTCAGGTAGGGTTCCTCTCGCAGAAATAAGCATACTACATAGTTTCATTAAGTATCCCCCCCAGAAAAAGGTACTTACCCTAAACCCAAAACCCAAAAAGGAGCCTTCAAAAAATAAAAACGAGGTACCTCTACGACCCGAACATCAAGAAGTTCGAGAAGGTTGGGGAGCTGATGCCCAACACGGATGCAGCGCAGCTGGGACCGAACCGATAGAGCCCGAAGGATCCCCTTAGGGTTCCTTTAAAGGGGTCTATAAGGCTTCCTTTAAATGGGCCACAGTAAGGGTTCTATAGGTTCCCCTCAAAAGGGCTACATATTACACCCTAAACCCCAAATCCTGAACCCAAAGTTAAGCCAGAGTCCTATGAGCCGTAGACCATTACTTAGGGTTTAGGCTTAAGGGGAACAGCGCTTGTGAATCTACTGTCTGGTGCTTAGTAGGGAATGGGGGAGCGGACCCCTATAGTAGTCCCTATATAATCCTAAAACCCTAAACCCTAAACCTTAACCTAAATGCTGTAATAGTCTCCTTAACCCATTCCCGACTACTAGGACCCAGAGTAGGCCCTTATTCCCTTTTTAAGGTTTCAGGTTCCCTTATAAGCCCCTTTAAACCAAAAAGGGCACCCTTTTTATTCCTAGGTTACTCTTAGGCCTAGACTAAGAGCCAGACAGTCTAAAGCAAGGCGATCTTCATCGCGGAGCCGTGGAAGAGCGAGGGAACAGAACGCGTGGGAGCGGCAACGAAACAATAGAGCCACGGTTTAGGGTTTAGGGACAAACAAAATGTGAAGGAAGCATACAGCATGGCGTGCATTCATACACAACATAGAGGCCTGGATAATTGCTAGGGGGCCTTGGGGTTCTTCAGTATGTCTCTACGTATACGACGCCTTCTGTCAATCCTTCGTGCTGCTATGAGCCTTTGCTGGGGGACTGCTTTCCGAGTACACTGATCGGATTTTGGTACCAGGAACCAGGCAGAGCATAGTAGTTGTCCGGGAAATCATATTGAGAATCTCAATCTTTTGGTTTTTGTTTATGTATTTGCAAACCTTAAACCCCGAACGGTAACGCGCAGTCGGCACTAACCCGAAACCCCACGCCCCTCACAGTAATCCTTCCAGTGGCCTTCTAGTACCTTGCAGGAACCATCCCAACACAAGCATAGCCTAAAGGTACAGCTACAAAGACCTGATGAAGACCTTGGCGCACTCGTCGCCATGGGTTGTTCTTCCATCCATTACAGGCACCCGGGACTGCTTTGTTTGGGATCTCGGTAAGAACCTGGGATTAGGATGGTACAGCAACTTTTATGCTTTCCTGAAAATGTACATGTGTTGTCTAAACCCACCTCAACATCTCCTCTTTTTGGGCCATATGTGTTTGGAAGTCATCTGAAAAAGACTCTTCTCTTTCTGGGGTGTTGAAAAGGCTACCCTCTTCAAACTAGTTAAGTTCCTTGGCAAGGACCCAGCTCTTTCAGCACCCGTTCACCGTTGGGTTGGGGCTGTTCGGGCTCAGGGGCAACGAGTGGGCCAACAGCACCTAATTGAATAGACATCAAGGCTCTAGGGCCCCTGACAACCCAAAGGGTCCTAGGTACTGTTACGGGGGATACTTCCCCAAATCATAATAGTAATTCCTACTATAGAAACCCTACATTCTACTATATTCTACTATATAGGTACTTTGGACCCTTAGGGCAACAATTCCATAAGGCTCAAGAAAGCCCCACAGCCGGTTAGAGATTCTCGGTGTATTGGATGTAGGTAGCGCGCACCCTAAATCTGTAAATCCTCAACCTTGCACCCTAATAATTGTTTTTCAATTCGGAATCCTTAACCCGAAACTCTACACTCCAATGACACCGAGAAAGGCATCAAATCTCAGACCCTAAGTATCATGTGGGTGGTTGTCAAAAATTAGGGTCCCTTTTCGGGTCCCTACGATAATACGGCACCTATTATTTAGAAAAAATAAGGTACCCAACAAGGGTCCCTAACTTTTACAACCACCCATGTGTCTTCACTGATAGCTCAGGTGCAGCTGCGGGCATCTTCTTGCTTGGCTTCCTCGCAGGCCTTCGAACATAATGGGTTTTGGGTTCGGGGCTTTAGGGTTTATGGTTTAGGAACTTCGGGTTTGGGGTTTAGGGTTGACATAGGATTTAAAGTTTCGGGTTTTTGGTTTGCACGTTCGTAGGCTTTTGAAGCTAGGGCATGGTGTCATTTTTGTTGGTGGGTTTGCTCTGGTTGTGCAAGCGTCGACACTAACCAGAAGACGGCTTCCGCAGTAGCCTATCTGTAGTGTGTTCCGAATACAGACTTACTTGTGGAGGCAGGGTCATCATGCTATTATATAAACTTGTCCAGCCCGCTTGTGCGTGTGATGTTTTTGTGACGCCTTAACGCGCGGAACCACAAGCCCCGAACCTCCAAACCTTATGCCCTGCAACACCTGGCCTTGAATCCTACACCCCAAAAACTCAAAGCCGCAAAGAGCCTGCAATAACTCAGAACCCTAAGCCCTAACCCCGAAAATCCCAAACCCTAAACCCCTACACCCTAATCCGTAAACAATTCGCGGATAACCCCGAATCCGACCCAGCGCAGGTGGAGTTGCCGAATTCGGTGGTGAACGTGCCGTGCGGCGTCTCCGTCGTGTGCGACAGTTCAGGCTGGTTATGGTGCCGGAACAAGGAACCCTCAAGGTCGGTTCTTAGGGTTCCGGAAGGGGTTAATCAGGATATGCTCACGGTTTCGTATGTGTTTTTGCAAAGTGCTCTGGCAGGCTTCACGGCTATTTGGCTGACCCTAAAGCGCAGTTTAGGGTTTATACGGTTTAGGGGCCCCGCAAGCTTCAAACAGTCATGGCCTTTGCACGCGACAGCCTTTAGGCACGAGTCCGAGCAAGCCTTGAATCTTAAAACACAAACGTAGCACAGCTCACAAAATCCACCGCAATGCCCCTGCAAACTAAAACCCTGGAAGCCCCACAAAGCCCTACTGTACGGCCGTACAGAACTCTCTTTAAACCTTCACAGCACCTCTATACATTAGAAGCTTAATAGTGACCATAAGGACTATATAGGAGTATATTAGGGCCCTATTATATTCCTATTATACCACTATTACAGGGTGGGGGCAGCTTCTAATCTATACAATCCTTTCGAACCCTTTTAAAACCCAAGAGAGCCTCACCTCCACACAGCCCTATCAAGCCCCTAAGGCCCTGCAAATCCGCATAGAAGGAACCCCTAAAGAACCTTGATAGCCCTTGAACCCAGTACAGGTACCCTAATCTAATCATCCAGGCCATAATAGCCCCTGATTAAAACCTCGTCATCCCCTTAGAGAAACCCTTTCTGAAGGAACCCCAGTCTAGCTATCGAAGCTGGTGCAAGATTATAGACTCAGATGTCCCATAGACCTGAAGCAAGGAATACTCTCTAAATCATGTTAGAGATCATATGTTACTTTAAGACATATTCCTTACTTGGGGATATTGAGACATTGACATCCAAACCCTAAACATAGGGACCTAGAAAGAACGTACGCATAAGTATTTACAGGGATATCCCTATCTTATTGGGCTTCCTTGCAAGTGTATTTATATGGGATATCCTTATCCTAAACCCCTAAGCCCCTAAACCTGTAAACCCCTACACCCCCAAACCCCTACACCCCTAAACCCCAAACCCCCGAACCCCTCTGTGTGTTTTCTGGTGGTTTCTTTTTGAACCGGAAGATCTGGGCGCGGAGGCTCCACGAAGAGGAGGTCTTCCAGCGTGCCTTTTCACTGCCAGCCGCTGGGCCTAGGGGGTTGTGAGTTTAGGGGTTTTGGGTTTAGGGGGTTAGTGGATTAGGGGGTTTAAGTTTAGGGGGTTAGGGGGTTTAGGTTTGAAGGTTTAGGGCCCAGGGGTTGTAGGGTTTATGGCGTCAGGGTTTTAGGGTTCAGGGTCTAGGGGTCTACCAACAATCTCCATTGTGGTTCCATTGTGGTTGACCCACCTTGATACTTAGGATCAGGTAACCACCAAGGAACCACAACGGAGATTACAATTTAATAGGGTTTACATCGGGTTCCGGGCTTTTGGGGATTTCTGAGTTTGGGGATTCAGGGTTTAAAATCAAATTGTGTTTAGTGCCTTCGCTGGCAGGTGGTCTCCTGGGTTTTCCCCTTTCCATATTTACGGTTCTATATGGGTAGTTGTCAAAATTAGGGTCCCTTTTTGGGTACCCTAAATCTTAGGTGCCGTATTACAATAAGGACACCTAATACTGACAACCACCCATATAGCACACTCTTTGGGAGGTGAGAATCCAGGGGGGTTCTGTCGCGGGTTCAGACGCGTCGCATGTAGTCAGCTGAGGTTCTACCCTAAGGCCCCAAAGTAGTTCTTTTTTGGGGTTCATATCTAGAGTCCTATAAGGTAATCCCCAAAAAGGAGCTATTTCGGGGCCTATGGGTATTGCGGTTCCGGGTTGACGGCTTGCAGTTTAAGTGTTCAGGGATGAGCGAACCCACCTCAAACCCCTAAACTTGGTGTTCTTCTGGTTGGCTCTTAGGACTTTAACTTTTTGGGTTAATAAGGAGGCTAGAAGTTTAACTTTTAGGAGAGGTCCAGAAGTCAGCCAAGTAAACCTGAAGCAAAACCCTACACTTTGGCACCTCACTACCCTCAAAGCCCCGCCTCCCTGTTTGGATCTCCCGGATCTCTCCTAAACCCGACCCTCCATAAAGCCCCCAAGGCCTAAAGAAGCTTCTAAGCCCTAAAACCGCAACCAACCCATGAAGCCCTAAACCTCAAAGCCTTAAACCCTGAACTCCACACCTGAAACCCTAAACCCCAAATCCCAAACTTGAAGCCCTACCTTAAACCCTAAACTCATAAACCCCACACCTTCAACCCTAAACCCCAAACCATATACAAAACTATAAACCTTCTACGCCTTACTTACCCTCGCGATATCGGAGGACATGGCCTCGCCGCTGATGACGGGCACCCATTCCATGAGCGATGCGCCTCAACCGGCTCCTCGCTTCCGACACAGGCGCCATGCTTTACAGGGTCTGTAACCCTATAAGGGTCCGAATAGGGGTTCCTTTAAGGGATCTCTTAAGGGGTCCTTTAAGGGTTCCTATAAGGGTTTAGGGTTATAGTCATAGGGACCCAAAACAGCACATAAGCAAAAGTTAGGATAGGGATATCCCAGATACATCCCCTAGAAGCCCAATAAGGTAGGGATATCCCTATAAAATGCTTATGTTTATGTGCTTTTGGGGGTCCCTAGTCATAGGGATTTAAGGAAGTATAGTCCCCAATCCCATGCTTTATAGGGTCTGTAACCCTAAGGGTCCATGTACACAAGTAGTATGTACATTGGCCTTAAAGTCCCTATCATAGAGCCCAAAGCATATACTGTTTGGGTACACATACCCTTAGGGCTTTATAGGGTCTGCAAGGTTTAGAATTTAGATTTTAGAGTTTAGGGTATATGGGGCTTATAGGGTTTAGGGTATCTTATAGTGTTCGTAAGAGTTTAGGATTTAGAATTTGTGCTTTGTTGTGTTCTCGGTTCCTGTGTAGTACGTACCCTTTTCCCTTTTGATTTAGGGTCCCCTTCTAAACCGAGCAGTAAGAAGAAGGGTACCCTTGTCATTAAGGGTCTGCTCAGTAACCTAGTGTTTGTAAGGGTTTAGGATTTAGGGTTAGGGTTTGGTGTATATACGGCAAGGGAAAAGGGTGTATCAGTCAGGGGCTGTACTGATATGTAGTTGGAGTGTGGCGCGTACACGCGCGTGTAGTTTTTGCAGGTTTTTGCATGTTTCGCGGCTTCGGGGGGTGGGGGGGGGTGTGCCGATACACCCACAAGGATATGCTCCTTGTTAGGAGGTGTATGACCAGTTTATTCCCTAAGGATCAAAGGGCAGCGCCCTGCACACGGACAGTAGTTGTTTTGTCTTGCTACGCAAGGAGAGCTTGTCTTGTCTCAATATGGTAAAACCACTGTGAGCCAATGGGCAGCGGAATGTATATGTATGAGCATGCAGCCATTGCTGTAGGTACCTGTTAGAGCTACCCCTTTAGAGGTTTACGGAATCAAACAGACACTAATTTTCTTTTACCGGAAGCATGGCCGCACATTCACACATATACTATTATGCCCACTGTCACAGTTGCGGAGTTTGGACTCATGATAAAAACAGCATATTGTTTATGCTAGGTATAGCACTGAAGTACACTGTTGAGGTCACTCCTTTTGCACACACTCATGCATGTTGGTCAGAGAGATCATCTGTACAAGATCAGGTCTGGTAATGTTCTTCTACCGAATTATGCAGCCCTTCATTGTGCTCTTGTTAGAGCTTTGTGAGTCACTGTTGTGAAACTCTGA